AAGTGTCACGTCATGTTCATGACAGTGTCATGTGATGTTCATGACAGCATCACGTCATGTTCATGACATCATCACGTCAGTCTTACACACACCCGTTCAAATAAATTGTTACCATAAACTTTGTTTGAATTCCCATAAAGTCTATTATCTTAAAATCTGAGTGTTTTCTGCATTTATAATTAAATCAGATGAATTTCCACTTTTCATAACAAGTTCATATTTTTCTATAAATAAAGCCGTGGTACGTGTCATTACTTGATGAAATGAAATTATTCACGTAATAACTGATGCTTTAAATGGTAAATGTACATGTTTAACATCACAAATCACTTTATCAGCACACAGAAGTTATTAGTTCAGAACAAATGCAAGACCTTAAGCAAAGTTCAAATAGGCTGAATTTAGTTTTAATTGATGTTTCTTCATATCCGGGCACCTCTTCATGAAGTGTTAGGTACATGTAAAGAAATGATGTTTGTATTTTAAAGCCAGAAGCCCTTGCAGATAAAATAAAGCAGTGAACCGTCAGCAGCATCAGGTGAGACACTCAGAGAGCATTTCCTGCTTGTCGGGCCTGAGTGTCCAGTCCGAGCACGGCTCTGTGATGAAACTGGCGCTCAGCTGGAGTTTGAGCTTCTCCACCTCGTAGTTATGCAGGTACTCCTGGACCAGGAACCGTTCTCGTCTAATCCGAGCCTTCACATCTGACGGGACATCGGGGATCAACCATGCCACGAAGAATTTCACCACAAAGACCACGTGCTGCGGAAAGACAGACACACACCATCAAAGACCCGACGTTGATTTGTTTTAAGACCAAGCTGCTGCCTTACTTCCATGATAATAATGAAGGCCATTTTGGCTGCCAGGATGTGCCAGAACTGCATGGTGTGCGTGTACTCCCTCTCGTGGCCAGGAGGGTAGCGGTAGTCCCGGTATCTACAGGACACAAGGAGCAGAGGAGCGCAGGAATGTTAGGATGTACCCCCGTCACCAAGAACCACGTACGATGATGAAATAAGCTGTGAGTGTCTGTTAGCAAGAAGACGCTGAAGTATGAGGAAACTCCTAGAAGATAATCAGTGGCTGAACCACTGAGTAAGTCCCTGATCTTAGAAACACAAACAGCTACAAGAAGTTCTTTACTGAGCGCAGCTGTGGTGCGCTCAGAGCTGAACTGCTTCCCCGACAGACTGTAGGTCCAGAGAAGTTCAAGACATCTTAGAGTCTTCATTGATGCTTGATGGGTTTCCATCGTATGCCGTCACCAGTCAGCCTTAGAGCCAAAACGAATCAGTGTCTTATCGACATGGGGCTGACATTTGGGGTGGTAGCAGCTGAGAGTCATCCCCATCATGTGTTCTTAGCACTAAAAGATCAAGAACTTTATTTTAAACTTTGACAGTTAAAAAAAGTTTAAAAACTAAAACAGCTGGACTTCTACTCTGAGGATGAAGATGTTTTGCTTCTTCAAGTCAAAAGTGTCTGAAGTTCCAAGTTTTATAGTAAGAAGTGCATGAGCGGCCTGGATGTGTGTTTAGATGACCTGCGGGTCAGACTGGAACTACTCGCTCTGCACGGTGGAGGCGTGTTGGGCTCTTCGCCTCACAGACAGATGGTCACCTGCATGGAGGTGTGAATGGGAGTGGAGATGATTGGGAATCACATGACCAGGCCCCTCATGACGTCTATAAAGCGTCCAGGATGGGAAGTGAAGCTTCTTCAGAACAGAAGTCCACGGGTTTTGGTTTAGTTAAACTTTACTTTGTTCACTAAGGTTGTGGGTTCGAGCCCAGGCTGCATCAGGAAGGGCATCTGGTATAAAATGAATTGCCAAATCTTTCATGTGAGTTTGCTGTGGCGACCCCTGAGGAGGAGCAGCCGAAAGAAACCGTAAATCTTCAGCTGCAACCTGACAGACTCAACCGTTTGAAAGTATACATTTTAGGCAAATAAAAACCCACACGTTGACGACAACCTCAAACTTCTTTTTCCAAAAAATGACCTGGTCAGTCTCTGCACTGAACCCATCACACCTGGGGTGCACCCAGGTGGAGCAGTGGGCAGGTATTGAGTGCCTGGGGAGCAGTTGGGGATTGGGTGTCTTGCTCAGAGACACCACAACATGTGGGAATGGCTAGGAGTTGAACCTGCAACTTTCTGGTCCCAGGAGTTTGAAATAGTCAAATGTAAATCACTGGACTGGTGCAAGTGTGAGTGGTACCAGTGGAACCACAGCCTGCAGCACCTGCACGTGCTGGTGGAGTTATGGTGCCAGTCGTCCTCAGGCATGTTGGGCAGCGGGATCTGTGAGATGTTGTAAACCGACAGACTGTTGTTGATGTAGCCCTCCATGTTGCCATGTCGGCTGTAGGCGTAGAGGTAAACCAAACGAGGAATCATGTCTGACGTGAACGCCATGATGAAAGACTGAAACACAATAAAATAAGAAACGTGTGTTCTTCAAGGAAAAGCCTGATGATTAATTCTGAGCAGAGTTTGAAACGTTCACCATGTTAAAGTTCAACAGCTGACATTTGACTCACATTGGTAACAACAGACAAAATGGCCACTGCGTTGAGGATCTCCTGCCATGCTCCAATGTTTCGAGCCTTTGAGGCCATCGGCCGCCTGAACTGGGTGGTGAACTTCCAGGCGTCCACCCTGATTTCCAGGATGTTGTTGACCAGGGCCAGGAGGGGGGCCAGGGGGAAGGAGGCCACAAACAGAGTGATGAAGCCGAACTGGATCACTGAGACGGGATAACGAGCAGCTCATCAGTCGCTGAATGTACCTGAGACGTTCATGCACTAAAAGAGGCTCACCCATCTCCAGGTACTCGTGGAACAGACCCAGCTGGCTGAAGTTCACCAGAACATAGTCCTGCTCCCAGCGGCTGTAACGGTTGTCTGGACTGTGGTGTCCCTTTCTGCTGCTCCACCAGTTACGTATCAGCCTAAAGGAAACCCAAAGATCAAACCGCCTGTTTTATTCTCAGGCTAAAATGAGAAAGACTGGACTTTTAAAGACTTTTCAAATCAGAAATGAACTCCTCCATACTGTGCACACTTAGTCATGTGCACAAAGTCAAGAACAAAACTGTATAAACACATAAAATATGAAAGGCTTTAATTGTTCAAACAGAAAGGCTGTCACTGATCAAATGAAATGAGTTGTCGCAGAAACCAGGAGCTGTTGAATTCATTCCGATGAAAACCCATCAGCTGTTTGTTGTTGCTCAGAACAAGTTTTCAATGTTGGAAAATCACTTTTTGCTTTTTGAGCCGAGTCGTTTGCAACGTGTGAAACAAAACAGAGACTCAAAGTTCTCACGAGTTCAACCCAAACGGGACTTTTCAAAGTAAAGCTCCTGTAGGTGAAACATCTGGACGGGTTAGACTCTGTCATGCGTGCACGTCCACCGCTCGTACCTGCTGCCTCAGAGGAGGAGACCTGTTGACCTTTGACTTCATTAAAGGTTTGACATCAGACACGATGGCTTCCATGATGTCAAACATGTGGGACTGCACTTTCATAACGGCTTTTCTTTACTTTCAGTTTATGATGATTAAAAACGAGCTCACAGAAGTCGAACAGTCGTGTATTTCAGGGCGTACTGATTTTATTTATGCGATTCAACTAAAACCGGTTGTTTGCGGCAGTTTTACACGTCTTCCTGACTGACACCAGATCCACGCTGAAATAATGTGACAGATTCTGCCTGTTTAGTATTTTGCACAGTACAATGATGGAGGCTGCAAAGGGAGAAAAAGAGACGTGTCCTCACGGCAGCAGAGCTTCTTGAATGTTTCCCCACAGCTGTTTTCCAACCATGACGATGAGCAGCTGGGTGGTGAGCTCGATCAGACAGCCGCCGGGGTCACACTGCCACCAGAACACATTTGTTGAACTCGTGAAAACGCCGAGGACAACACACACACATCCACACAAAACTCACCTCTTCATTCCTCAGTCTGCTCCATTTGCCGAACATGTACGAGTAGTCACCTGGATAACCTACGAACTTGCCTTTGAAGAAGGCCACGTAGAAGCAGGACGAGTAGTAGTTCACAAACTGGAACAAGAACATCTTCATCGTCAACCTGTTCTCGTACTCCAGGTGAGTCTTGGGAATTTCTGCAGGAAGTGAACAGAGCACGTGTCCTCAGGACGACACTCAACGGCAGTAGGTTCTGGTTTAGGCTTGGACTGACGGGTCTTTACCCAGATCAGTGATCCAGACGGCCACCTTCTCGTAGAAGAAGTTAAGGATCATGATGATGACGAAGTTGATGCAGGAGGCGGTGACAGAGGTGGCCAGTTGTGGAGTGATGAACCTGCCTACCAGCTGGATCTTCCTCATCGGGTCTTTAATGATGCTCGCAAAGGCTGCGTGCACGGCCAGCCTGTACGCTATGACCCCGATGATACAGGCCACGATGAGGGACACCTGCAGAGAACAGTCGGTCAGAGGAGTCCTTGAAGGAACGCACGTCACCCGCCGCCACCGTTTTATATGAAAAGTTTTAGGGCTGCGACAGACTCTCCAAACTTTAGCTCCATATCTGCTAAGGTTGGCTCTAATCGTTAATCAGTTGTAGACAAGATATTTTGCTAACAGACAGACACGCAGACAGATAAATGCACTCACACACAGGTGTTCCTGTCAGTTCATCAGGTTTAAGACGAACAACATAAAGATCAAAGGTTCAGTTACCCAGAACAGGACGGTGGCTCCAGACAGGAAGTACCGAGCACATCTGGAGTGGACCGGAAGATACGGCTCCATTTCCTAAAAGAAAAAAGTTTGAATTGTTCTACTTGTTATCAAGTCGCTGCTGATAAGTTCAAGTTCCTGATGAATCGGAGCTTGTGCAGAGCACCTGTGTGATCTTGTTCAGCCTCCGGTTGGTGCAGTTGATCTCGAACTCCGGGCGGATCTGAAGTTGTTGCTGCTCCTCCTCAAAGTCCACCAAATCCCATTCGTACTCCAGTCGAGCCTGACGCCGCTTCCAGAACTCCAGAAACAGAGTCACTGCCAGAACAGGCTCAGGTCAACATCACTGATCAATGATCTTATTTCCTGGATGACTGGTTTGTTCTCACACAGCTGCTTTTGACAACATGTTAGTTCTGCTGGGTTCGTGTGAGCTGCAGCCGTTTGATGGAGGAGAAACTGAACCAACACTCACCCCAAATCCCCATAAATATGGCAAAGAACACGGTTCCCTCATTATCAAACAGATGGGATTGCTGGAAGAGACAACGTGGAACAAGTTACTTGGAGAACGTGACGGTTCCTCTGCAGAGTTCATTTACACGACATTCATCAATGAGTTCAATTCACTGCAGACTTCAGAGTAAACCTGTAAATATCTTTACACTATTTTTATGACACTGTGGATTATAAATGAAAAAAAGACTGAATTTAAATGCAAGTTTTATGAAATACATTTAATAGTTAAACAACATATAAAATGTTGAACCTGAGAAACTTCTCTTAAAATAAAGTCCTTCTTTTGATTTGGATGTGTCACTCCTCCAACAATCATGTTAACCTGTTGTAAACTAACACAATTAACTCTAAACTTTTCTGTTAAACATTTATTTAAAGTTTTTTACAGTTCTGTATTTTTATCTGATTTGAGATTTGTAGAGATGTAGTCGAGCGCTGTATGAATGGGTACATGAAGACACAGATGGATGTAAAAAGCTTTGAGTATCTTCATAAGACAGAAAGGAGCTACAGTATATATCATTACAGTGCATTTATCATAAAGTATCATCAACTATCAGTGCATTTAAAAATATATATGTTATCTGTGTGTAAAAACATGAAAAATGATTTTCACCCAGGATGAGAGGCACGTGGAGTTGAGCTTCCAGAACGGGCACTTCCTGTCACAAAGCGGGCACATCACTATCCTGCCTCCGATCACAGAGTCACAGATCTCTTTGCTAAAGAGAGAAACAAACAGCTTTTAACATATTACCACAAATGTTGTAAATATTTATGAACAATAGATTTATTTTAGGGATTAAAATAAAAATATGTGTTTTACAAACGTGTCGAATGATCACAACACCGTACGCAGGTTATTCATTTGAAAGATAATCTAGTTAAAATGTAAAACTTCATTACACCTGCGCTTGTCTAAATGTTTTCACAGTAAAATGTGTGTCAGTTTAGACAGCTGGACTTTTTCTTCAACAGGTTAATTTGTCCCAGTAACACAGGGGCAGGTTACTGGGACAAGGATGGAGCCAAATAGACTTTTGAAGCCCCGCCCCTCCCTAATGGATTATTGGCATTATTTTCTTGTTTGACACTAGAACTGAAATTTGTTTCTGTGTTAACTTGTTCTAATTTAAGTAAACTATAAAACTTTACTGAGCTGCACTAGAAGTAATTTTCCACAGATACATATTATGAAAGAAGGATTTCAACCATCAACATTTCTTATTACCTTATTCTAACCTACAAAGCTCTCAACAACCTAGATCCATCTTATATTACAGATCTTATTGTTCCATATTTTCCCAACAGAGCACTTTGCTCTCAGACTGCAGGGTTACTTGTGGTTCCTAGAGTTTCCAAAAGCAGAATGGGAGGAAGATTTTTCAGTTCTCAGGCTCCTCTCTTGTGGAACCAACTTCCAGTTTTTGTCCGTGAGGCTGACACATTGTCCAGTTTAAGACTGGGATTAAGACTTTCCTTTTTGATAAATCCTATAGTTGTGGTTGGATTGGGTGTCCTGAGCTGTCCCTTATTTCTGCTGCTATAGGCTTAGACTGCTGGAGGACAAACTGACCACGTGTACTATCTCTGCTGCTGTCTTTACTTAATCTACTCTACCTGTTTGTAATTATTTCTATCTTAACATGTTTTTTGTATTTCCTCTGATAGAAAGTATACCTGGACTATAGAAAGTACACCTGGACTATAGAAAGTACACCTGGACTATAGAAAGTACACCTGGACTATAGAAAGTACACCTGAACTATACAAAGTACACCTGGACCATTGAAAGTATACCTGGACCATTGAAAGTATACCTGGACTATAGAAAGTACACCTGGACTATAGAAAGTACACCTGGACTATAGAAAGTACACCTGGACTATAGAAAGTACAC